TTCAGGTAGTGTGTCAGCTGGTTTGCAGCTGAAGAAGCTACAACCTCATAAAGAAGTTCTGCTCACTCTGAAACATAATTGAACTAAACCATAATGCCTCTGTGTATCAAACACAATATAAAAGGATTGCAAGAATGATGAAGGGGGATGACATGCAAGCTGCCAAACAAGGACAAAGTACAATCATTGCCTGTGTTTGGGGGACCCTTCAAAATAAAAGTCCAAATAATAAAACAATTGAGAGCTCAAAAGAGAGCCTAATGAGATAGGATGTGTAGAATTAAGATAATATAGTAGAAAATGAAACACACTGTTGACTATATTAAAAGAAAATACTTAGGTAACTATAAATAATAGATTTAGTCAAGTTTCATGGACAAAGAAATGGGTTAAATAATGCCAGCTAAGTGGATACTATACCGCATGACAGTTGGTGGAAAATGAAGATTAAGGGATAACTATTTCAAGTTAATTACAAGTGGCTTTTTTCACATACCATAAAAGTGTTAGGACTGGAGCTGTAATGGTGATTGAGTCACTTTTTTAATGAGTTTTTAAAGCTCTTTGCCGAGTTCACTTATGCAAGCCAATTATTTGACACAATCACATAGATTGAATCAGTTTGTTAAATGTTTAGAAGAATATCACCGCCGCTCAGCTCATGATTTTAAGTCACAACACTCACACTTATAGCTACATTTGTTAAGATTAAACTGAGTGTTAATGACTAAAGATAAGTGGATTTGTTTCTTGTTAGGTTGTTGGAGTTCTCTGAGCAACTTTGATTGCTGATGTGTGATATTTTAACCTCTTCACTTGCCACTAAACCACTAAGTGATGTGATCTCAAGGCACATTTACAGCAGCTCAGATCACAGGCACTGGCTTTAAACAAGAGCGTAACATTTGACTAAGCCTCTCACATGTAAGACTCTCCCTAACATGTGTAATATGAAGTCATATTAATGTGGAACAGCTTTTCCTTCATCTGGACTCGGAGGCCCCGTCTGGACCGCTGCCAAACCCCCCCATTCTCCTCCGTTCCCACATCAGACCACCTTACAAACTGGAGGTGGGGGGGAGGGGGGCGGTTGGAATGTATTTTGCCCTGTGTGATGTGATTGTTTGCAGAGAAATGGGTTGACCTTGCCCTCTAATGCCACACACACACGCACACACTTGCTCTGGCTGGAGGTGTGTGAGACAGACCCGCTGAGTGCAGGAGGTCTGGGACCCCGTCACCACTTCCTCCAGACAGAGAACAGAGGATCCAGTCAGCTGCAGCCAGGATGGGACAATAATGAGCCGTCCAGCCAGCACCTCATTCCAGGTATTATTGAAACCTCCGCCTCTCACTTTACTTCTGCATAGACCAACCACTGCAAACCCAGATTTTCTACATAATTAAAAAGATTTAGTCGTGTAAACCAACATTTCCCAAAAAGTTCTACCTTCAATATTTGTTCTTAGTTTTTGAGTTAATTTAACAAATCTTTATTGATCTTGCTGGTTAAGTCAGCTCCAATTCAAAGATAAAATGTAACTAAACTTATTTCTGTAGTTTATTGATGCATGTGTCTTAATGAAAATGTTTAAGCTTTTTTATCAACTCAAAAGAATATAGTCAATTAGTTGCTTACATTTTTTCGAGCTCTGGTAACTTTTTGGGGTTTACAGTGAGAGGGATATAAGACCATAGACCAAAAAGTAAAACATTAATTACTCAGGCTTTTAAAGATTTAAATGACAACAAATGGTGCTGAGTAAATGTAACAGTTTACTTAAGTTAATGTGACTCTAACCCGAAGGAACACCTGTGGACATTTAGCTTTAAAGAGTGTGTTATCTTAATAGTGTGTGTTAGGGTGCTGGAGTCCAAATAGTTTTCAAATAGTTAATATTTAAATTTTGTAAAGGGGATTATTGTATAATTTTACGATAATCAGATACAAATGTAATGACGTCTGTGAGTTCAGGTTTCTGATGGCTACATAATTGATCATTTTAAAGTTTGATGGAGAATTATTTTAACTCAAATTAAAGTTTTACTTTTTTCAAACTAGGTTAATTTAGTATTTTCCAGTGGCTCATATCAGAATGGTCACTAAGACAATTTTTTTATTATGAATTTGTGTTTTCATGTCGATACAATTGGTTGGCATTAAGCAGAAAAGATTTTGGACACATTCGATACATTTTATTGTGTGGCTACAATATCAGTCTAATCATGTTGTGTTATTGATTATTATTGAATACAAGATCGTTTGTAAACAATGACGGAATTAACCAATGAAACCATAGAGCATAATCCATTTAGTTGATGTATATATTTTTTTATTGAGTAATTGCAACTTCCAACGGGAGAAGTTAGATAACTTCTCGGAAATATAGATTCATTTTGATTCTACTTTTGAAAATCTGGCTGATGCTGTTTTAGGAAACACAAACAATTATTTAAATGTTCTAAATAAATTAACGTAATGCATTGACCTAGTTACCATACCGTGTTGTGCTTTGATGCTCGGAAAAACAGACGAGCGAGTTTTGCCAAATCATTTGTTTCGACTAAAAGTCATGACGTTTGCTCATCAAATATCCTTCCTCATGATTTGGTTTTATATAGCAATTTCTTAGACATTTTTAAATTTATTTTACAGTCTACAGTAATTCTGTGCCAACATGTTAAATAATTATTACAAATTAAGAGTCTAATAATTAATATGAGTTAACATTCGTAGTCATGATTTTACTCCAAGAAAAGTCAATTCTGACCAACTAATGTATGACACACACTTAATGATCAATGTGTTTACTTTTCTTTTTCAGGCAATCACATTTTGTTTATGTGAAGAAGCCTTACGCTTGTTCTTGTAAAACAAGGTATGTCTGTATTTTGACATGATACGTCTGTTTATTCAGGTTTTAGTTGAAAAATGTCTAAAAATCCAACAAATATAATGAATGAGATACACATTTTTCAGGGTAATCCTTCTAAACTGGCAGCCACTGGTATGTCCAGGCCATATTCTTATCGATATTAATTGAATCACCTATTGTTTTGTTTTTTTCTTAATTTTCAATGACTTTAAAATAACCGTTGTCGTTTCAGTAAATCCTAGATTTGTTGTTTGTTGCGGAAATTGTTCAGTAAAGGCGATAGGCGATTAGTATACACTTATATTCAGTAGAGCAACAGTAAATTATTTATTTTGAATCCAAGTGTGTGAGCTTTTTGAAGTCATCATTTAAAAAACGCAAGGCGTGTGTCTGCGCGTGTCTTTGTAAAATGTGATAGGCTAGTTGGTATCAAAGCAGTGCATGCATGCACACGCACACACGCACACACACACACAGACAGAGAAACACACACACACACACACACACAGACAGACACAGATACAGAAACACACACACACACACACACACACACACACACACACACACACACACACACACACACACACACACACGCACACACACATTCCCTCTCTCCCAGTGGCAGCTCTCTCTCACTGCAGACCCGTGTGTGCAGGAGAGGCTGCACCGAGCTGTCGGTCACCGGAGGTCTGTCACCGGGGAATTTGATATCTTTACACGGTAAGGGCTGCAGTTGTTGGTGCATTCGTTTTAAAGATAAGATCGTCTTATGCCGATGCGTAAAAACGCAGCACATTTACGCACGACAATTCCAAACCAGTCATAATATTAAATGTCATTTCGACATTTAATATTATGGCTCCAGTATTGTTTGCAGTATTTTTTTATATATCAGTTCGGTTTTTATATACCATTATTTGAATTGAATGCAGGCTAGAGTATATGTTTGTTTCAGACCATGTAGTCCAACCAGAGAAGGGTTTCATGGTGGTTAGATCTGTCAACAGACTATGGTCAGTGAAGGGGAAACGCGAGGACAAAACTGGTAGAAATCGGTGGACATGGCGAGGCAGATTCCCAGCTGGGCGGCCTCGCAGTGACCCCCTCAACTTTCAACTCTGGATGCTTCCGGTTATCAGTATCTACAGTATGGCTAATCCAATCAAAGTGATGCGCGCTCGCGTCAACCTGCTGCTGCTGTAGGCCTCGTGCATCCTATCCACAATCTAGTATGAGTGTCTTTCATGTGAGATAAGAGACATGTGTGTTTCTATCACTTCAGGAACTACATCCTCATCATATTAGGGTGTTCTGTAATTGGCATCGTTACAATTGTTGTGTATAGCACAGCACCCTGGACCCCTGGTACATTTACTCTCACCCACATTCGTTATCGAGAATATGTGTGATTGGTTTACTTTGCTTCTTTTTTTTGCATGCCAATGTGGCACAGGTCATATTTATTATCAAGAGCAAATCGTGCACTTTCCACTGTAACAATAAACAGTTGATCTGGATGGATAATCCAGATGTTTTTTTAAGATAGAAAATGAGTCAACCGCCTTTTTTGAAGGGTGTGCTTAATGTGAAGCCAAATGAGAAGAAGGGTGGGGGATAAATGATTTGTTTTGAGATTCAACTACTGTTAGAGTGAATAAGTATGCTTTTGAAAAATAAATCATCCTCAAATGTGTGTGTGTGTGTGTGTGTGTGTTTGTGTGAGAGTTTGTGTGTGTGCGTGTGCGTGTGAGTGTGTGTGTGTGTGTGTGTGTGTGTGTGTGTGTGTGTGTGTGTGGTGTGTGTGTGTGTGTGTGTGTGTGTGTGTGTGTGTGTGTGTGTGTGTGTGTGTGTGTTTGATTGGCCAGTGTCAGAGCCGTGATTCGGGCTGGGGATGCCGATGCACCCGGCAGACCTATGGGAGCGCGCGGTGGTCAGAAGGGGGAGGGCAGAGAGGCTGAGGCGGACTTGACTCCATTTGTAATAAAGGATCTGATGAGCGGGGTTCAGATCAGGGCTGCCGCTGGGTCTGCGAGGGCAATAAAACAGAGGAGCGATATAAATGAGGAGGGAATAACTTCCGCTTTGATCGGATCTGCAGCCCGCGGAGACGGAGAGGAGGAAGAGCCGAGTTGTGCGCGCAGGGAGACGGGCAGCAGAGCGAGAAACAACCCGGTGTTTTATCGGAACAGAGTGGATTTTTAAGAACCGACACTGCAACATTTGGACTGTTGGATTTAAAGGAAAATATTAATTTTAAATCAAAGCAAGCTGTAAAAAAAAACCCTCCAAAAAACCGGCTGCGCGGGCGTGTAGGATTATGAGCGTGTTTTCTGCAGGGAGAGCAGAGCAGTGCATTTGAGGTAAAGGCCCTCAGGGTGACCATCCAAAATATTCACACACACACTAACTGGTCAGGCTGTGGTTAGCTTATTTGATGTAAGTGATATGCACTTTACGAGATGCTTCCATTTTTAAACATCATATAGGGCAGGCTGTAGTTTAAACAATTCAGATGTTAACACACTGTGGAACTTCAAGCTCTCATTATGCATTGAGGTTAACAGACAAAATATGCATATTGATGCAAGTTAGGTTTCCACTGTAGATATGATACACTCTGACATCTGGGTGACTTATATTACATAAATATGCATGACAAAGGCAAACTGTCAACATCTCAAAAAACAATGTTGAAGTTCAAGTTCATGTAGGTCTAATCTCATTTTACACAGAAGCATTGGATTAGGTTAATCCTAATGTAAGTATAGTTTTTTGATGCTATTTTGCAAAGAAGGGACCATAAATTGTTTATTGTGTTCAGCACAATATCAAAGTGCTAAGCCTTAATAAACGAGGCCATGGTTAACAGTCCCTTTGTGAATCTTTAACAAAAACAGATATCAACTGACCGTTTCTGTTGCTTTCATGGTTTTTAGTCATGGTTATTGATTTTGTGATTTGAATAACAGGTGAATAATATTACCATTACGTGTTCCTAAACATGGATGCTTCAAATTATATTCACTCTAAAGGTCACGAACTATTGTGAAATGATATCATATAAATTATATAAAATGAACAACCCACCCTATCAAACAGTTGGGGTGGCACTCACGAAAAACCCTGTTTACCAAATGCACATCATATTAACGTGTGTGTGTGTGTGTGTGTGTGTGTGTGTGTGTGTGTGTGTGTGTGTGTGTGTGTGTGTGTGTGTGTGTGTGTGTGTGTGTGTGTGTGTGTGTGTGTGTGTGTGTGTGTGTGTGTGTGTGTGTGTGTGTGTGGTGTGTGTGTGTGTGTGTGTGTGTGTGTGTGTGTGTGTGTGTGTGTGTGTGTGTGTGTGTGTGTGTCAGTGGGACATGGCAAACGGAGGGGACCAGTTCGGCCTTGCGGAGAGTCCGGACTCGGACTGCATGGATTCCCCAAAAGAGACCAAACCGGAAAATCCGAGCTACACCTTAAACTCTCCAGCCTCTTCCCCGCAGACAGCATCCAGACAGCAGCCAGCGGCTACTACTACGGAGCAGAATGTAAATATATATTATTAATTCATAATTTACTAAATGTTGAAGACTATGCAGATTTTTCTTGCATCCTGGACCAAAGTGAGAGGGAAAGTTAATTCCCTTCTAGTAGTTGCTATGAGATTTGTCGTGGATTAGATTTAGATAAACTACAACATAATAGAGTCCAATAACTTCTTATAGCCTATAGCCTACTACTAGATTTTTTCAAACTAATTGTTTCTCGTTTTGGGGGCTTTAATTTAACTTCCAGGAGACTTCCTCTTCAGTTGTAGTGAGCACTGTTTTTGTTTTGTTTTAGGGAATGGAAGGAATCAAAGTTTTCCTCCACGACAGGGAACTTTGGACAAAGTTTGATGAAGTGGGAACTGAAATGATCATCACCAAGGCTGGAAGGTAAGAAGTTAGGAGGAATAAATATTTATCTGTTAGTTTTTTTTAATTTGGGTACATTCGATTTATCATTTTTATGAAGCCATGGTTGAATAAACAGCACGAATGTCACAGCACGACTGTCCTGACAATATATCTAGGACAAACGGTACAATGTGAATGTTGCCTCAGGGGACGTTTTTTCTCTCAGGATAGCAAAAAAATGTTTTATCTTAACTTCAAGTATTATAATATAATCTGTCTGTGTCTGTAAAATAATATATGTATTTTTTCTGAATGTGCTCCGTGTAGGAGGATGTTTCCCAGTTACAAGGTGAAAGTCACGGGACTCAACCCAAAAACCAAGTACATACTTCTGATGGACCTTGTGCCCAAGGACGACCACCGATACAAATTTTCCGACAACAAATGGTTGGTGTATTTCAAAATGTATAGGCCTACGTGTGAATTTGATGAAATCTAAATTGAGGTTTTCCCTAAAAATAATGGTGCATGCGAAGATAATCAAATATGCATGCATGCCCATCAGCCATGATAGGCCCCATTGCTTATTAATGTATTTTAAACGTCGTTTACGGAGTGTAAAACGGTAACAAAACCACCACAGGGAAAAAAAAGCACAATCCTAGACTTTGCTTTATTTTCCTAATTATCTTCCCTGTGATTTTGTTATGTGTGCCACTTTGAATTATGCATTAAAACCTCTGTAAAAATAAATCCGTGCTGTTGGGTTTACCTCCTCTTCACCCTGCCTCTAAAGGTCGGGTCCTTCTTGCAGACTAGCATGGCCTAGTTCCCCGTGTTTCCCCCCGTGTCTGCCCGCCGGTTAAATCAGAGTATGAAGGGTTCACCGGGCGGACAGACGGCACAGACCGGATTAAAGTCTCCCATTCAAATGCTTGCTGTGCTGAGGGGGGAAATCCGAAGAGACCACTGACTCTGCAGAGATCCGTAAATGCCCTGACACCCGGGTTTTACAAAGAAACGTGCCGTAAACAGGAGTCTGGATACACTGTGACATAAAGTCCGGCTCGCATGTGTAATGGTGGCAGCGGTGTTTCTGGAGATTAGTCGGTGCTGGGCTTCAGACATTTCTCAAGAGATAACGTCTTTATGTGGGTGATTGATAGCGTCATATATAGGCTAACTGGCTGCAAATGTATCTCAAAATAAATGTTATTTTCTTTTTATTATTTACGTTTTGACCGGCTCACGTCATTTGACATTTGCTCCTATATTGTTGACTCGTCTCGGAGCCATTCTTCATGCAGACATACAGCACTACGAAAAACATTGTTTTTTACAAAATTATTTACGCAGCACATTTCAAATATTATAATCCTTCTCTTTCGCTCTAATTTGTGTTTATAAAGTGTTAAAAGCAAATGCAAACACAAGAAACGAACCCGTTTATTGTGTTAAAAGTCCCAAAAAGTAAATAATGCATCCCTCAAACAGGTTGGCGATAGCTTGTGTCTGTTTCTCAGCTGCTGTAAAAGGGGGAAAATAGTCCAATAGTTCACAGATTATGTTTAAAAGTGGACCTTTTTTGGCCACTATTTTAGTTTCGTGGGGATTTTAAGTGTTTCTGAGGAAATATGTCAACAGTTTCAGGCTTTTCTCTCGGCGGCTCATAACATCTCTGGCACAAAAGGACCGAGGCTACAGCAGTTTTAGAGGAGTCCGAGTACATTTGGATCGAAAAAGCTAAGGTCCAGATCTCGTTCAGATATCTGTGTAAACTTTAACAAAACAAGTTTACAGTTAAAGCACCAGATAGGCCTTCTGCAGCGAAGGCCTCCAGCCGGTCAGACAGACCACCGTGACCCCCTGAATGCACCGTGTCTGATCTGCGGCCTCCTCTCTGTCCAAAGGTCGGTAACGGGAAAGGCAGAGCCCGCGATGCCCGGGAGGCTCTACGTCCACCCGGACTCCCCGGCCACCGGGGCGCACTGGAGCCGCCAGCTCGTCTCTTTCCAGAAGCTCAAACTCACCAACAACCACCTGGACCCCTTTGGACACGTGAGTCTCTTTCCTTAATATTTTGAGTTTATATTTCTTCAGAACCAGAAAAATATGCTTGGTGCGTCTTGGCAGTCAATACAATAAATGTGTTTGGCTTATGAAAGAGTTGTTTGCTTTGATAGCCTCAATATATCATGTCACTTTTAAATAAAATACAATCTATATCCCAAATGGAAATAGTCTTTTGGCCCAATTAGATTCATATCGTATGCTTTTTAAATAATCAAGTGTGATTTCTTTTTTTCTTTAATTAAGAAGATTGATTACACACACGGCAGTCACAGTTCCAGGCTGGCCACCACAACACAAAACAGCCCAGAGTATGCACAGAGAGACTCATTCCCATCATGGCAGCTCTGCCGACTGTTACAGTCTGACTGTACACACACACAAACACACACACACAATGTCATGAGGCAGTTGAGCTTCACGGTGTGAGAGCAAGTGAAAACATAGGCCTATTGTTTTTTTGCACTAGCGCAAAGACAATAGGCAACAAACAGAAACAATCTTCTCAGGCTTGTTAAATTAGAGGTAATGATTTCAATGACTAAAGCCCATTAGCTAATGCATGTCACCGGCGGACACGTCACTGAGATTAAACTGAGCCCCCTGGATAAACAAACGTGCTCGTGCCTGTGTGTTCAGACAGAGGGCCGTGATCCAATTAAAAAAAAACACTTGAGGAGTTTCCTGTGTCATGGGAAATTGTTTAGAATGTGAGATAAATGATTGTTATGGTTTTACATTGCTGGTTTCCCCAAGCCAAATGTTAGATGTTAAGACATTTTTTACTAATATGGAAATGTTAGTAATTTGTCAAGAACATACAACATCCAATGAGTGACTCTTAATTATACTGAAATCAAGCTAGTGTTCAGTGAAAGCCTCAACATATATATATTTAATTTAAGCCTTTAGAATAGTCTTATAACAATGTATGATGTAGGCCTAGTTTTGGTTAAAAGGCAATGGTCACAGATTAAATTAAATTAAGTGTGTTTAAGATGCCTTGATGATCACTTTGTTTGAAAGATGCAGTTTTACCTGGTTTCATGCATGGTTATCTTTTGGTTAGAATGAGATGAAAATAAAACATTTAAAAAAAATAATCAGCATGAGCATTAGTCATTTACTTGCATACTGAACCTAAATCAACCAAAAAATAGTTTACATTAATGCCCAAATGATGACATCAATATCTATATTTAAAAAGATCTCAGCTAAATTCTTGCATCCAAAACAGCTCCTTTACTTTATCAGTTTCAGCCTACTAATATGAAAGAGTCTCTGTCTTAAAGATTAATTTCATCCAAGAACTTTGGGTACCTTGACATTCATTGGGTTTACCCTCCACCTGGACTCATGACAGGTCTGTCAATCACACCTCCTCAATCTCTCCCCTGTGCAGATAATACTCAACTCCATGCACAAATACCAGCCTCGCCTCCATATTGTCAAGGCGGATGAGAACAACGGCTTTGGCTCCAAAAATACGGCTTTCTGCACCCACATCTTCTCTGAGACTGCCTTCATCGGTGTGACGTCCTACCAGAACCACAAGGTGAGCTCCACAGCAACAACACTGTTAAAATACAGGGAAAAAACACGCTTTATGTATTTTTAAGAAGGGCCACATTAGTCCTTTTTATAGAATATTTTGTATATTAAATGGAGTTTAAAACAATACAGAAAGTGTTATTTAGACATCACTTCACATCATAGAGAACACTTATTTTAAACAATTTTTTCAAGCCATAGGTTACCTCATAATTATCCTAGCAATTATGGAAATAGATCTCAAAGTCGAATGTGTGTCATATCTGTTCTATCTATGATTATTTAGATAAGTGTTTAAGATGTGCCTTTGGTCACTGGCTACATTCAAACTTCTGTCTCTCACACACACATTCACACACACTCACAAAGAGAACCTTTTTCTTTGTTAGTATTACTGTCTGTATTTTGTATCCAGAAAGTCAATTTGCATCTTCATTGTTTATGTGGCCTTACTTAGTATTTGTAAATATGTCCAAAAATAAGTTATCCGTGTGTGTGTGTGTGTGTGAGAGAGAGCATGTGTGTGAGCGAGTGTGTGAGCGAGTGTGTGAGCGTTAGTCTGTAATGAACTGTTTCTTTCCCTTGATCTTTGCTGACCAGTTTTCTTGATGTCAACTAGAAAAACAGATTGCTGAAGCTTTTTGCCGCTCTGCTGGTTGCGTTCCCATATGATAGATTTAATTTGATTACATTTAATAACATGAATAAATACATTTTAAATGTACATAAAACAAAACAAAAGTATACTGTGTTAGCATTTAAATAAAAAATATTCCTCAATACCCCAAGCAAATTGTTTGTATAAAAAAAGTGTAAAAAAAGGACTCTCAGAAATTGGTGCATCAAATCTGTTAATAGCAGGTCGTTTTTAGTTTAAACAAATAATAATACAATGATATTTTATTTAAGCTGAAGTATTGTATGTTATGTATAAAATGTATGATAATTATAATAAAGTTAAAAAGTTAGAAGTATTTAAACTGTCTATTCGATCAAATATTATGCAAACAAATAGATTAGTGTAATAACTTAAAAAACGTGTTTTGTATTTTAATCTTAAATACTATATAACTATCTAATTCTTCTTATTCTTATTCTTATCGTTATCATTTAGTGGTAGTGCATTAGCAGCAGCAGTAGTACACTATTGTATTTGCTGAATTGAAATCAATATTATAAATTCTTGTCACTTCAAAATCACAAACAAAAAACAATATGTTTTGAAGTTTTTGTTATACAAGCTATTGTGTTAAACAACATTTTTATAGTTCCATCATGAAAAAACTAATACTATAGTTATAACACTATTAAATCCAATATGTGTGCAAAATGATGACTATTTTAGCAGTATAGTTTGGTGGTGGTTTTCATCAGCACTTCAAAGTTAGTTTGGACCCGAGCTGGTGTCACATCTCCGGTCCGGCTGCCTGCTGTGTGATGGACACACTGCGCGAAGGCTTCCCTCCATGACATCACTGAGAAAAATGTGAAAACTTAAACATCAAAGCTCACAGCTTTGGACCTCTAAAAGCTTTGGTATGAAATCCTTAAACCTGGCGACTGTTTGGGTAAACAGTTTATTCTGTGTCAGCTGGCGAGGACACTGTTCGCTCCGTTAGAAACGTCAGCGGGCTGAGGAATGTCGGCCGTGCAGAGCTTTAGCGCCGCTGCTAAAAACATCTGCAGGGCCTCTCACTAATAGTAAACTTTAACATGTGAATGTGCCTTTGTGTGTCTGTGCTGTGTGTTTGTCTTGGCCTGAGCATGCAGGTGTAATCCATGTGTCTGAGCTAAAGATTTTCCTTGTTTTGTGCTCAGATTACACAGCTGAAGATAGAGAATAATCCTTTTGCTAAGGGCTTCAGAGGCAGCGATGACAATGAGCTGCACCGCATGGCCAAGCTCCAAGGGTGAGTACAGCTGCACGAGAGGAACACTTACAGAAAACAACATCTATTTGCCCTCTGAAGATTTTTATGATTGGGGTACATATGATCCAAAACATATGTGTGTGTGTGTGTGTGTGTGTGTGTGTGTGTGTGTGTGTGTGTGTGTGTGTGTGTGTGTGTGTGTGTGTGTGTGTGTGTGTGTGTGTGTGTGTGTGTGTGTGTGTGTGTGTGTGTGTGTGTGTGTGTGTGTGTGTGTGTGTGTGTGTGTGTGTGTGTGTGTGTGTGTGTGTGTGTGTGTGTGTGTGTGTGTGTGTGTGTGTGTGTGTGTGTGTGTGTGTGTGAGCCATTGTCACCTGAAGGTTGATCTTAGCATGCAACATCAGCCAGAGCGGGCATCACAAACACGAAGCACCGAGCGTCAGGTCCTGCATTGATTGATAGATGATATCCTGTTGCTGCTGGTCTAATGGACTGTCACTGCAGATCAGCTGATGACCTTACATGGTGTCTGTTTGCGTGTTGAACTGATCTTCATTGAAGCGCTGTTTTGGCAGGCAGTTTAGAGATTTTAATAGGCCAATAGGAGAGGCTGTTTCTGAGAGGAGGGGGAGGAAAGAGAAGAGAGGGAGGGTGCAGACCCCTGTGTATCTGTGCTGCTGTGGTTGGTGGAGTAGAGAGGGGAACAGAGGAGAGGAGAGTCTATCTAAGGTGACACATGGATGGCTGTTTATTTTTAGAGCTAGTTTTTGTAGCGTATTATCTCACAACAGGATTAACTGTGTGTGTGCAAGCACAAGTGTGTGTCACTATCTCAGCGAGGGCTAGCGAGATGTGGCCCAATGTCCCACATACCCAAGAGTTCACCAAGAGGGCAGTGTGTACAGAGAAAGAGAAAGATCAGAGCTGAAAGGATGGAGAAAGACTAAGTCGACTTGAAAGAAAAGAAAAAAAACAAGAGCACACAGAATACAATCAGGTGGAATAAAATGTAAGAGAAAAACCTGCACAGAGTCAAGAGAGGTCGTTTTGTGCACCCAACTGCACGTGTAAATGTTCCTGCTGCGGGACTAATAAAGGGTCTCTGATTCTGATATACATACTTTACATTACATACTTTGTTGTCGTTGTCATTTTCAACCCACCGTTCCCTCTCGTTCTTAGGAAGGACTTCCCTGTGGTCCCTCGCAGTACTGTCCGTCAGAGGGCCTGCTCCACCGGGAGTCCCTTCAGTGGGGAGGGTCGGGGTCTGCGGGGCTCCCCTGAAACAGTGGGGTCCCCGTTCAGCTGTGAGAACCGTTTGAGTCCCCAGGAGCTGCTGAGGGCCCCCCCTGCGCACTACACCCTGGCCCCTCCTCACATGCAGCACAGCCACCAGCCGCAGGTCTACTGCACCAAGAGGAAAGGTAGGAGGACGCTTCAGCACGCTGTGTGACAAAATGATCGGCTATCTCAAGCTGTGAAAGACAAAAAGCAATGCCATTAGTTCACTCCTGACACAGAAGTCCAGAAATGACCCCTTTCCTTTTTATTTAATCATTGTGACACTAAGATCGCCTTTATTGATCCCCATAGGTACATTCAGGTGTTATAGCAGCAACATAATAGGAGAATAACACAGGTAGTACACATGAGAATATACACAGGATATGAGGAACAAGGGGAACTTGAGCTGTTAACCTTGCTCTCTACAAAGTCACAAAACTCCATTGAAAAAAACAGGAATGTTACCTTACACTGTCTGGCAGCCCATAAACATATTCCAAATACAGCATGCACCCTAAATTACATTCTTTTGAGATGGCTAAAATAACTATTGTTGCTAAATGCCCTGCTGTATATTTACTGTACTTCTTACACTGACTCTGTATTACCCCAGTTTAACCCCTAACCCTAACTACCCCTTATCAGACGTACTCTTAAAGCACCTAACAAATTCACTTTTCCATGAGGCTCCATCTGTTAAACTTTTGGATTTATTTTTCCCATCTCAGCTTCTTAAACGGTCTGAAGTAAGAATTCAGACATCCTGGTCTGAAACGTTTCCAGTTCATGCTTCTTATTGATATCAAATTGTACATTTCTCTCTGTCTGTGTCTCTCCTTAGTGGGGGAGAACTGCTCTCCAGGAAATCGCCAGCAGCCGTATAAGAAAGCCTTCACCGGTAGCTCTCCAAGTGAGGGCGAGTCTTACTACCACCCCTCCTCCTACCCTCCTCCTCCACCCGGTCTATCCAACAACCCTCTCACCGACTCCCCCTACAGCTCAGACATGGGACAGCGCCAGGCGTGCATGTTTGCCGGATCTGAACCCAGACTGGATGAACTCAACTGTACATCCTGGTCCTACAGCAGCCCTCCCCCCTCTGCCATGACCCCCATGGATCCCTACCCACCTTACACCCCTCACCCCCCCTACAGCTCCAGCCCTCAGGGTTCCCGACTCAGCGCCATAGCCAACCAGAGCTCTCCGACGCTGGGAGAACACATCGGCCACCACCCCTATCCGAGCCAGAGTGCCGCACCTCCACCTCAGAGCTCCCAAAACATTCACAGCAGGCAGGTCAGCCCTCCTCTCAGAGAGTACCCTCGCTACACTCCCAACCTGTCTCCTCCTCTCTACCACACACTAGAGACACACACACACATCAGGTGTGTCGTACCAGAATGGAGTGCAGCCTCCTAACTGAACCAGAGGACAAACCCCAAAGACTGATACATGGACAGAGATTCCTCGTCTCATATTCAGTGACCGTTCTTTCTGCTATTCTGAAAGATGCTGGCTGTATACGGACTAAATATGATATTACCTTTGTAAAATAATTGTGAAAAGTCTGATATTTTTGTGCTGTGTGAAGAGCTCTCCTCCAGCTTTGCAGGATGGGACAGTGGATTGTTAAAGACTATACATGGTCATCCATAAAACAAACAAAGTTGTACTTAATCTTCTTTCTATAACCCAAAGACTGGTGTCATCCAAATGTTGTAACTGTGAGCCCTGTTCAGGCCAGACTGTGAACGCGACTGTTCTGTTTTCCTCTAAGTCAGTCCCACTCTCTCCATTGTGAAGGAGGTACATTTCGACCCAGGCTGTAACATTTACTGACCAAAATATCTCTGATCTCCCAGCAGAGCCTGAGGTAGACATATTTTCTCTTTAGTGGAGAAAAGCATAGCTCCATGCTCAGTTTCAATGAAGGAGAAAAGGCATGAGTTGTGTGTGTGTGTGTGTGTGTGTGTGTGTGTGTGTGTGTGTGTGTGTGTGTGTGTGTGTGTGTGTGTGTGTGTGTGTGTGTGTGGTGTGTGTGTGTGTGTGTGTGTGTGTGTGTGTGTGTGTGTGTGTGTGTGTGTGTTTGTATGTAAAGCCTATGTCAGCTCAGCTCAAGGATGCGATGAGATAATTTTCCAATGAGACAGGCAGTAGTTCCTGCGGGCGCTGTAACATAGAAAAAGCAGTTTGTTTAGGCCACGCTACAGGCTGAGGGACCTGTAAACACTGCTTTCACTGCATTCTGGGTAAATGCACTACTCAGTGTCACACGGTTGTCACCGCTGTCCTCTCAGTCACCCCTAGCTGACCAATCAGCTCTCTCTTTTCTCTGAGAGCCAGCCAATGAACATGCGCCTCTCTTGTATCCCCAGCTGACCAGTTAGAGCTGGAGCGTCGCATGTTTCATGTGTGCGTGCGTGTTGGCCCATTTTTGTTTGTTTCTGAATTATTCATTAGTCCAGTGTTGATCCTTGACATGCAAGGATTGCTCAGCAAACATAAAAAAAATCACAGTTCTGTTAAACGTGATAATATTGATGCACTAACTCTTGTTCCTTTAATTTGAATCTAAATTCTTCCTGTCTTATCCATTAATGGTTTTACAAGATCCGGTTAGATACATGTCCCTGCAGCATCATCATTCTACTTTTAGCTAACCGTAAAGAAAGATATGTGGCATCCATTGTGAAAGCTGAGGTTTTGGTGTCTTTTTGTGTAAGAAGGCAGATTTCATATATCTGCCCTGTTGTTTTACATGCAGTAAAATGTGAGCAGGTGCTCTCACATTACAAACAGTATGCAGAGAGCAAATCCCCATCATTCCTTGGTATGTATTTGATTTGTATGTATGTGCGTTAAAATGAGATTTTTTTTATAGCCTTGTTCCTGCTAACAGTATTTATTACTCTAGATTTGTAAAGATTAGTCTGTTGTTAACTTGTGAAACAAGCAGAGTTGTTCAGAGATATTTGTTCTCTTTAAAGGTTTGTGTCTGGTTTCACCCCCCATCTGTGGTGATAAATAGTTGTGATAAACAAACAAAAATGTTCTGTTATATGGATAAAAAGACAGATTTATACACAGAAATTGAATAAATTTTTGAGAATTATGCGTATGTGAAGTGGTTGCAGTGTTCTTCTTTGTGATTAGACAACAAACACAGCAGAGGCAACTTTCCCACTGTAGGTTATTTAAAGCATGGTCAGCAACTCAGGAATGGAAACTCCTTTAAGTGCAGTTCAGTTAATCAGTTTCAACGCATGTAGCAATATGAAGCACTTGATGAGGACAAGTGCCTGTACTTTTCTCCAAATGTTCCAAAAGTGTCCAACATTATCATGCAACAATGTAGAGTATTGTTTAAATTATAACAGTGTGTGCTATGCTGTCTTATCAAGAACAAGAGACCCCAGTGTCTTTTACAAACCCCCCCCAGAGTGGTGTGGGTGCTGCACATACCTTGTCCCCCTCCTCTTATCTGTGACAGGTTGTTTGGCATCTCCAGTCTCCACCAGCTGGACCCCCTCATTGGTGCCCAGAAAGGCTTATGGTCTGCCGGGATGCAGGACAGAGAGAGGTGGGGGTGTGTTGGTGGTCCCCCTTCCCTCTTATGTCTCCTGACATCCCATGTTTGTGTCTCTCACAGCAAAGTTAACCTCTTCCACCTTCCACCTGCTCAGAGTTTACAACACCCTTATTTTGAAAGAACAAATGGACGTAACATGCAGAGATCTATTTATAAAAGGCTGCTAAATCATTAAACTTGTAACCCGGGGTATTTACAATTAATTGCATAGTTATATGTCAGTTGTCAGACCTCCCCTTTCTCTCCTTCTCCTTCCCTTTCTTCCTCTCTCTCTCTCTCTCTCGTACACCATAAGGCCAGAGGTTAAGCAGGCAGCCCTTCAGAGGGTCTGTTCCTCCTTAACCCTTTGTCTCCAGACAAACTGGATAAGGGGGAGAGGGGAGAGGAGGGAGGAACGAGGGAGGTCCCATGGAAGGGCCTCCGACTCTGAAGATGGATTGCATCACTTCATGCTAGCTTGTACAGTAACAGATCTGTGATGACTCCTGTATGGCTGGAAGAATAAAGCTTTGGGAGAAGTGGTAAAGTAATATTAAACACAGAGAGAAAGACTGTGTGTGTGTGTGTGTGTGTGTGTGTGTGTGTGTGTGTGTGTGTGTGTGTGTGTGTGTGTGTGTGTGTGTGTGTGTGTGTAAACCGTAATCCATCTGTGGAGGACTTTCTCAGACACACTGGACGGACAGTAGATTGATGAACCTTGGTGATCAAAGAGCCTAAGTGGTGCTTATCGTTATCTCCCCAACGCCCCCCTCCAACATAAACACACACACACACATACACACACACACACACACACACGCATGCACACACGCAACTCCTCTGACTGCCCTCTACAGATTCTCCTTTTCTCATCCGTATTCAAATCTAAAAGTCCAACATGGTTTCCAACATGGTTTCCAATAGATACACCAAATACACACACATCCTTTCTTGTCTTGGGTAGAGACGAGACACCACGTGTTAAAATGGAGACTGACATTTTTAAATGTCACACATTTTGCCTGTAGACCTAAATCTATGTATAACAACTAACCTTAGAGGGTAACTGTCTGAGGGGGATTTATATTTCTGCTGTTTGTATCCCTAAGCTGTTTCTCTTAGAACAAAAACAACTGCTTTAAATCATTTGTTTCATTTAATTTTCATTTCAAATGTATCTAGAGTCTCTTGCAGGACACTGAGAGGCATTTGTGTGATGTCCAGCATTAGTGATGGAATAAGTGGTCTGAGATGGAGTGTAATTGGTAAAGTTAATTATGGTTCATCTCTTTGGGTCTGATGGTGCTCCATCTCTGCGGCAGTTAAGTGAGAGTTCAGTTCCTCCTTACTAGCATGGCACAAGTTAAAAAGCTGTTGCACTGGAATGCAAATACATGTATATAACATTGAATCTATGCAACTTCATGTTTTTAAAATGTGTCAATCATAAAATGTATTTAGTTTTAACGTTCCTTTGCTTGTTGGCTTTTTGGAAGCTAAGAAAAAAATATCTTGGTCCATGCTTCATCAAGTGATATTGGAAAGTTTACAGGGCATCTTTGAAAATTGGGCTGATGAATACATTCAACTAATCCTTTCCAGAATATTTTTAAATGTATACAAAGCCAGAAGTATGTGCAATTAGAGTCACTAAGCACTGTATGGCACTAAGAGGACAGCTCAATGGCAGTACAATAATGTAAAACAATGAGTGCTTGGCCATTACATATGGTGCAACAAAGTAGCATGGTTAGGATGATTTGAATGATACTATCTATCCTTGTTGTTATTTAAAAGCCACAAGAATGGTCTAATGCTGTTAAGCACAGTATAGAAACAAGATTGAGACTCAGAGCTAATTTCCTCCTAAATGAGAGTTTATGGCTGAAACAGCCCTGAAATCACTGAAGTAGATCTTAATATGAGCATAAGGGCTGTCAAGGATAAGAGGTCCAAGTAGAAGTGTGCATGTGGGTTGGGGGGGCTGGGCGGCTTGTGTGTGCTCTGGTTGTCCTGCATGTTGCGTTTGAGAGACAAAGGGAGAGTTAAGGGTCAAACCAACAGCAGACAGGCCAGTCCAGGGTCAGAGGGCTCAGACTAACCTGATCAGTGGTGCTTGTGTATCTGGTCATCCTTGAACCGTTACTCTGATGAAGTCTGCACTCAGATCAGCAACTTAGTGCCAGTTTTGAAGAACAGATGATCCCCTTGAAAGAAATACAACATGCAAACATCATGAAAGATCAAATAAGGATATCTTGTTGTCCATGCGATGTGACCGTCCTGTCCCAATCTAAGATAGGTTAGGGTTTTCTTTTCAATCTCTCGAGGGTAAGCTAAGTTTTGAAAAAAGGACACCGTGATGTGAGCAAAAATAATTGTTTTAACTCCTAACATACCGCCAGGGTCCCAAGACCGGCAGCCAAACACACATGACAGGGTAAAAGGGATAGAGGCCCTCCCGCAGTGGGTGGTGGTGGGGGTTGTGGGACGTCATGGAGCCAATGTCCCGTCTGATTACAGCCAGAGGACTGGAGAAGCATGCTAAACCTCCACACACACACAAATATGGATACACAAAAACACTCGCATTGAGACAAAGGCACACAACCAGCAAGACAGACAGAGAACCACACACACACCCCCACACACCCCCCCCCCACACACACACACACACACAACACCCCCCCCCCCCCCCCCCCACACACACACACACACACACACACACACACACACACACACACACACACACACACACACACACACAAGCCCATAACCTCTGACCTCACTGCAGTCCCCTTGTCCAGACAGCACGCACATAATGATATCACTACCAGCAGGACGCTCTTTTTGTTTGCTCACTGTACAACCGACTGTGGCCCCTTGCAGTCCCCCAGTTTTGAATAAAGGAACATTGTCAGGTCATTATGGTGCATGGGCCCGGGCATTTAG